ACAGTGTCCAGTAGTACCGAGAGTGCCCCCTAGCGGCCCCTGCGAGATCCCACTTCCTGCCACAAGAGCTCAACCAGCAGAGCCCTCCCCTCATCCCAGCAGCTGTGCCTAGGGAGGGCGCTTTGCCTGGCATCGTCTCACCTGATCTCTACCCCTCCTTGAGAGGATGCTCACTTCAGGACCAACAACCTCTTAATAAGCACTTACACTATGCTGATCACTGTTCTAGACACTAGGATAGGAGTCATTAATCACCCAAGCTCTGGATGCACTGACAGAAAACTAACGGATTATGGGGGTCGTTCCCAGTACTAGACCAGAGGACGGGTCGAGTCTGTTTTGAGCCTTGTATGGGCGAGTGGCTGGCAAAGTAGGGGGTTACAAAGGGAAAAACAGTGCCCTGTGAAATGGGAACAGTCGAAGCAAATGAGCCCACCCCTGCCATCCACTCAACATTTCCTAAACAACTGCCATTTACTGGGTCATAGAGGGAGCATGGGATGCTGGAGAGGGAGAGATGACCAAAATGCCAGATGTGGCTGCTCCAGGAACTCACAACCTGGCAGGAAGACATAAATAAACAAAATAAGAGGTGCTCTGTGCTCAGGGTCTTGTTAGCAGACACTCGGGTGTGGAGCAGAGCGCCCTCCACCTGGGTGTTGTGGGAGGGTTTGAGCTTAGGCTGAGGGATGAGCAAGGCTGAGAGCACAAGTACAAGAACACGGAGGGGCTTACCCATCAAAAGGAGGCCCATCCTGGCGTGCTAGGAAGGTTCTGCTCCCCGATCTGGGTGCTCGCCTCAGAGGTGTGTGCAGTTATGGCAATTCATCCGGCTGTACACTTGTGACTTCTTATGTATGTACATTCATAGCCCCCAACCTCTTTTGTAAGACTGGACTCTGGAGCCTTACTGTAAGGGTTGGAATCCAGTTGTCCCAGAGCAGCTCTAGGACCTTGGGGACTCAACTTCACCGAGTCAGTTTCCTCCCCTGTACAACGGGGACAGTAGCACCTTCATTGCAGGGTTGTGTGTGGAGCCCACATCTTGAGATACATAAAGCACTTAAATAATGCTTCCTATGTACTTATCTTCACAATACCAAATTTCCAATGATTGGTAGTGCCTGGCACCTAGGAGCCCAATATAATTTGTTGAATAAATGCAGGAATGAATTAAAAGTATGTTTTTTTTAAGCACCAGGAGGTGGCTTGAACAAATGCAGGGGTGTGGGTTGGAGTGGAGAACCTCAACTGAAGGCTTCTGGGCAGGAGAGCTCAGAGCCTGGGGAGGGGCTGCATTCCTGTGAAGAAGCCAAGGCTTCTGTGGGAAGGGGCAAGAGGGAGACAGCTAGTGACCTGGACCCCATGGGGTGGAGATAAGAGCAGGGTTCAAGCCCTTGCATCCCCTTCCCCCAAGCCCCAACTACACACGAGGTTAAGACTTGCCCCAGCTACTGAACAGGCTTACTGAGAGGCTCAAACCAGGAA